ACAAACCTTAATTGTCTGATCTAGTTCAGAGTCAGGTATTGCTCTAGTACATTTTCTTGTGTAAAAATAGTCCTGATTAGATAACCAGGAATTGAAGAAATTAGTTATAAAAATTGTCACTGGATCATGAAATCTTAGAAAGTATAATAGAATGAATATTTTTAGGTTGACAAAAAAAATCAAAAAGATGCAGAAAAAAATCTAAGTAAATGTGTTGCAGGGAAAAGGAGTGCTCGTGGAGTGGAAAACAAAGATTCAATTTATCCAGATGCTCTCCATTCATTTGTTTAAAGAATATCAGATAGCTGCATGTAAAGAACATGTGAATGTCTGTAGTTGTATTTGAGCAAAGTATTTAAAGAAATATAATGATGTCTACCTGACCAATAAGAACAAATGGAGTTTAAAACAAGTGTTTATTTAGAGTAAAAACAAAGACACAAGTGTTTCTGCTGTAGTGGAGACTGTTAAGTGTGTTGCCAAACCATCACACATATGAAGGCTGTTGAAGGAGTAGACTTACATACTGAGAGCTGGGTGAACTCAATCTGGGAGGGGGAAATAATAAATCAATAAATATATATATATATAAAACATATATAACATATAATATATAACATAATATATATATAATATATAATATATAAAATATGAGACAGTCAAAAGTTACTTTTTTTTAATAAAGTTTTGCCTCACACCTTCTGTGAGACAAAGATGCACTTCTGTGCATCTCAATATTGCACCCCCAATTTATTTTATCAGAATGTTTTAAAACATTATTCCAATAGTTGTTATGATGTCAACTGTGTTGCTTCAACTGGATTAGGGCAAGTTACTTTGTCCCTCTGGGCCTTCATGTATTTAATTGTAAAATGAATGATGATGCCCAGGAAAAATCTCTAATTATTATTGTTACATAATCATGCTTGTGAATTTACCCTGGATGCATTTGGAAATACCTAATAATGCTGGGCAGGGGTGAGGGGTGGGGTGGGGAAGAAAACAACAAAATCAAATTAAGAATTTAAAGATTAATAAGGCCCAGACTTGGGGAATTTATGTAAAAACAGTTTCTATGTTGTTGTTGACCAAAGAGAAGAAGAAAATAAATCGACCTAGTACCTGGATGGTTTTTTAAGAGGGAACCAATAGTTTAAGTCAAAGTACAATTATCTTGATAGACTTTTTCTACTTCCAAGAAATGAAGTTTTCTCTCAGTCCTCCATTCAACAGGGAAATAAAATCTCCAAAAATAAAATCATTTTTATCATTTTTTAATGTAAATTTTGAAGTTCCTGCCCTCAAAAATCAGTTTTATCCTTAAGGGTTTGAATCTTAGTTTAGGTGCAAGTATATAAATTAATTGGAAGTAATAGGACCTGACGTGACTAGATAAGGAGAAGGCATCTGAGTGGGGGTCAAAGGATGGAAGAAATTAATTTCAAGAATCCTAATGAGGCAGGAGCTACATGGAAAGCAGAAGACATGGTATTATGATTTTGCTATGCCTCTCTAATCTGGCATAAAATCTTAAAATTTTCAACACCTACTTCCTTTTTCTATGGAAATAGGGAAGAATACCTGGTCTGCCTAACACAAGAGATTGTTGCAAAGATTGGATTCTAAATGTTGAAGGTGCTTTATAACCACAAAGCATGGCACAAATGTAACCAGTTAATATCTTACTATCATTTGCACTCAAGACTCGGGCTTTCACAGCTCAGTAGGGATTTCTGAGAATATATTGATTTTCCTGCTGTAATAGATCTCAAGAAATGCAGAAAACAAGTATAATTTGTTTCCCTTCCCTTAAGAAAATTACACACTATTTTAGAAGTCAATACAGACAATCCTAAAATGGATAGTATTCTGAAATAAGTCTGAGTAGGAGAGTGTGTGTAAGCCTAAGATCCACAGTGGTTCACTAAGTGATTAGAAAAATAGTGAATTGTGCTACATACCTCTCTGTTCCACAAGAACCTTAAACTCTACAGCTAAACTTATTATCTTTACAAGAATTTTTTTTTTTTTTTTTGAGAGTTTCACACTTGTTGCCCAGGCTGGAGGGCAAAGATGCACTTCACCTCCTGGATTCAAGTGATTCTCCTTCCTCAGCCTCCTGAGTAGCTGGGATTACAAGCATGGGGCACCACACCTGGCTAATTTTGTACTTTTAGTAGAGATGGGGTTTCACCATGTTACGCTGGTCTTGAACTTCTGACCTCAAGTGATCTACCTGTCTTGGCCTCCCAAAGTGCTGGGATTACAGGTGTGACCCACCATGCCTGGCCTTTACAAGGAATTTTATCCCCAAAAACCAAAATACAGAATTCCATAGTATGATCTCCTTTGGTAAATGTTAATTGCATTAACAAGTCAGCCAGAAACCTTATATAAACTTCATATGATCAGTCATCCATTTTTTTAAGTCTTTTTTCTTTACCATTATTTTTATCTGTGGGCCTTTATTAATTTTAAATTAAACAAATTGGAGTTTAAACTAAACACACTGGAGTCTCTAACGCCCAATGTGATGATGTTAGGAGGTAAAACTTTTGGGAAGAAATTAGATTTAGATGAGGTCATGAGGATGGGGCTCATGATGGGGACTTACAAGAAGAGGAAGAGACACCAGGTCTTCCTCTTTCAGTCATGCAATGACACAGTGGAAACGTAGCCATCTGCAACCCAGGAGGGGGAAACTTACCAAGAACTAAATCATCTGGCACCTTGATCTTAGATTTCCCAGGCTCCAGATTTTGAAAAATAACCTGTTTTAGCTACCTAGTCTATGGTATTTTGTTAGAACAGTTTGAGGAAGCTGATATAATTACTGTAGAGTTTTCTTACCTGAATATTTTATTTCATTGTTTACTACTTTAAGAACTTCAATGATTCCCCATGCTTTCTGGATAAAAGTAACCCCCTAAAACTAAAACCTAAGTCTCTTCCTCAGTTGACCCTGGACACCTTGTGCAGTCTTATATCTAGCTGTTCAGCCGAAATATTTTTTGCCGTAGCTGTCATTCAGAACCACATAGGGTCGCACATTCACTATTTTGAGTGCCCATTTTTGTGACATATCCTTCCCTTTTTCTACCTTTCATGTTCCAAAATTGCTCCTTTGGTATTAAATTCAAATTCATCAGCATCAATCCCCTTTCTCACCAATAGATTTTTTTTTTAATTTAAATCAAAATGGGTTTATTTCAATCACTGCTTTCTGCCAGACACTATGTAGGCATTGCTAATGTAAGGCTAAATAAGGCAGGCATAGATATTTGCCTTCATTGAGCATAAAATGTATCTGACCTTCCACTTCATTCTAGTACCAATACATTATCTCAACTTTCACACTTCCTGCAAGTTTATCCCTTACACTGATAAAACGGTCATAATGTTTTATTTGCCTTTTTCTCATATCTGATACCTAATAAAATATCAATGAAGCTTTTATTGAATAGGTTTTATGACTTTTGTGGATTAAATTATTAGGGACATTGATATGAAATATATTGAATTTGAGTTTTCCTAAAATAGGTAATTTGGATTGTAGATGAAAGGAAATCACTGCAGATGGGGACATAGCATTAGAAGCCAAAGAAGAACGTTTTAACTCAGCTTCTGGGGCACACAGTAAAATGTCCAATCTGAATAGGCCCAAGAGGACCGGAACATGTGTATAATGACAGTTGGTTCAGAACAAAGGATTTGAAACAAAATGTTATAAAATTGGTGGTAGCAATGGTGACAGATACCTCGTATTCGCTAAACTTAGTACAGATCCACGATCTTCTTTCTTAGTGAATGATTCTCAATTTTCTCTTTACTTCTAACCAAATACAAATGCAAAAGTATTTCTGGTTGACTAAAGCCCTGTAAAAGTTAAGACAGCATAGGTTTCCAAGCCAATTAAGCCCAGGTTTGAGTCCAAAACCTACCCTTTACAAGATGAATAAACATCTGCTCCTCAAATTTCAGTTTCCTTCATCTTTGAAATATAGGTAATGGCAATCTAAAGGGCTTATGGTAATATTAAATAAGATAATACAAATGTAAAATGTATAGAACCTGCCCCAGAAATGTGTTCATTTTTCCCCATTTGAATCACCTAATTTCCGTAACTGAAATACTTAATATTTTTATCTGTTATGAAGCACTCAGTTGGCTTACCTGTTAGGCTAATAACAGCTTGACAATGTCAGCCATTCTTGTTGTGTTCAGCATTCAGGATCTTGCTAATCAATTGTTTCACTTCTTCCTTCTGAGTGTAGATAGAGCCTTAGTTAGAATGTGACCCAAGTTGGCATATGAGTTAAAACATATTTACAACCCTTAACTACATTCCCTCAAGAGTAGTAATGGCAGCACAGATATGCTATTTATAGATGCTGCAGTAGCTTCTGGAGACAAGGCATTTTCCTTTACATCCTAAGCATATTTGATCTTCTTATTTTAGCCCCAATCAGTTAGGAGTTAAAAGTCTAATAACAAAAGGGGCACACAGGAACAGGATGAGATAGAAAAATATATATAAATAGTCTCTTAGGATGGTTCGAATTAAGATTTTTAGACTTTATTAAGGTGCAAAACCATCACAATTTTGGCATGACATAGAGTTTTAAATAAACTAAATTAGATATCCCGGATTTTATTATAAAACAAGCTTTGTGTTGAATGGTTTTGCCCAACTGTAGGCTAATATGTTTTCAGCATGTCTTTTAAGGTAGCATGCCTTTTTTTTTTTTTTTTTTTTTTTTTTTTATGTTTCATGAAATCTTTAATGAAATTGGGGAGAATGGCACGAACAGAAGGGAGGGGCACTGGGGACAGGCTTTGGGGCAAGGGATGTGGGTATGGGGCAGGGCAGGGCAGGGGGCTCTCCTCTTCCCTGCAGCAACCCTCCCCCAATCATCCCACTGACGGGGAAGTGGGGAGGTGGAGCCATAAATATGTCCAGAATTTCAAAGAGACGAGGGGCGAAGAGCTGGACAGGGCTCTCAGAGAGGGGGCAGGGGCAGGCCCGGGCCACCCTTGTCCGGGGGCCCTGGCTCCTTGGGTGGCCGTGGGGGCCCTGGGGGGTCCCCTGGCTTGCGACCGTGCGTGCGGAAGTAGCGGTAGCGCTGGACGTAGGCCCGCACCAGGTTGCTCACCTTCACCGGGTTGATCTCCCCGCTTTTGCTGTGGCAGATCTTGTGGACGGCCTTCCTCAGGATGTCCTTGTACTCCTCCTTGGTGATGTCCTTCTTCTGGTAGTACGGCTTGATGGCCAGCTTTACCTCCTCCACTGCCCGCTCCTGCGTGTGCAGCTTCTTCAGATACTAATCTGTGTCTCCACGTCCCTCGGAGCTGCTGCTGCCCTCTCTCTTGTCAGAAGTGGCAGCCAGCCCGGTGGGGGTGGGAGGGGTCGAGCCGCAGCCCCCCAGGGGGAGGCTGCCAGGAAGCAGGTAGCTGGAGGGGCCAGGGGGCAGACCCAGAGAGGTGGGCACAGGAGCTGGGGTCACCCCCAGACTTGAGGGTGGCTTTCTGTGGCTGAGGATCTGGTTGGTGGCCTGGATCAGCTCCTGGGCCTTCGCTCGACTCGCCAGGTTGGCTTCTTCCATCTTGAAGAGAAGTGCAGTCAAGGCCAGGAAGCCGCTGGTGGTGCAGTCCACACCAGCTGGCAGGTTCCAGGGCATGGTTTGTTAGGTTAGGTGTATTAAATACATTTTCAACTTACCATATTTTCAATTTACAATGGGTTTATCAGGATGTAATCCCATTGAAAGTTGAGAAGCATGTTTGTGTGTATATATATTATATTCATGCATAAGCACCTACTAATTGTATGCTAAATGTAATTTTGTGCTAAGATGACCAAATAGAATAAAATACAAACTAATTGACTTTAATTTCTAGGTAAATTAAATATGAAAGTTCAATGTAAATCTTAAGTTGTAAGAACCAACAAAATATAGATCTTGAGTTATATAGGCTCAGTGTGCTTATAATATTTGGATATATGTTTAAAGATGCTGTCGATATTCTAAGGTATAATTGCATGAGCAACTGATAATCCTATTTAAGATAAAGAAGACTTACAGTGGACTGGGACTCTGAGGAAATGATAGAGTTACCAAAGCCCTGGATATATATCCAGAGATACATATTTGCAGTACAACACAGATACTGCAGACAAGTCATGATTTATCTCCATTTAAATGGTGAATATAAAATCCTGTTTACATGATTTATGGAGTCTGAGAAATGCACATTTCCTTTTGGAGCATTAACAAATGACTGAGCAGTCTGGTCAAGAGAAGCATTAATTTAGGAAGAAGATACACTTGATCTTGCACTTAATCGAGAAACACATTTCCTTAGATTAAGAAAAGAATCCAAGAGAATTAGGAATGCAAGGTTGTCTCCCATGCAGAAAGGTCAGAGCAAACCCAAGGCACTTTATAAAAATGGCAAACTTGGCAGAATAGTATGCAATGCCTACTATTTCCACAGCAGTGTTCAGGTTGGCCCGGGGGTCGGGTGGAGCGGTCGAGGGGAAGAGAGAAAAGGATGTACCATGTTAATTTCTTGCTTAAAAATCTCCAGTGATAATGTTTGTCTAAAGCAGAGGTTTTTAAACTTTTTCAAGCATCTGAGGCAGAATTTCTCAACCTCGGCACTATACGTATTTGGGCCCAGTTAATTGTTTATCAGGGCCTGTGCTGTGTATTGGAGTTAGCAGCTTCCTTGTTCTCCACCCACTAAATGCCAGCAGCATTTCCGCCCCTAATCACATAATGTCTCCAGACATTAACCCTGGGAAGGCAAAATGACTCCCTGTGGAAAACTGCTGAACTAAGATTCATTCATATCCTTTCTGCCTCAAAAGCATATTAATTATATGGCAGAAAAGCACAGTAGATCTCAAATCACTGCCACATATGGATTCCTTTTACTGCCTATGTGCCTTAAGAGGTATATCCCCTCCTCCTTTCCCTTTCTACATGTCTATTACAATTCAGCTCAGGTCCCAGTTCCTCCCAAAACTATTCCTGTGGTGCCAGTTTCGATTAGCTGTCTGATTTTTTTCTTATTCATATCTTTACTGTTCATAGGGTTTACCATACTGCGTTGCAAAAAATTTTTTTTAACATGCCTGCCTTATTTTTTAGGCAGAGAGCGCCTTAAGGTCAAGGAATCTTTCTTACCCAAATGTTTATGCATAAAGACTTATCTAAGTGTTGTGGACAGGCTGACTGAAAAAAAATTACTGAGAAAATAAATCAATATAAGATTCATCTCTCTTATGTAATGTGTAACTTAAAGAAATTGGAAAATTAGATACATATTTGGAATATAGTGGTAAAGTAAATAAAATATCTGATATTCAGAGGAAAAAGGAGTTAAAGACCCCCAGTGGGAGAAACTAAAATTTGGAGTGACTCATACTTACTGAATGCACAGAGAACATAGTCAGCATCTCTGTTTCTTCATTAGTGGCTGGGTTATGCAAATATGAGATCTATGTAATGATGAAAATGCTGAACCTGTGTGAAGTCATTATGCGGACAAAACTTAAGAATGGAAACTATTTGAGTTGAAACACTCCTCCACAAGCTTCTGGCCCAAACTCTTCATAAGAATTTTTTCCATCAATGTCCTGATTATTATTTTACCAGCCTAGAAACCCTCCTGTTGTGAGGATTTTAGTCTGTTACAAATGATGATCATTCGGTTTCCTTAAGATATTGTGAGAAGCCCATACAATGGGCTTCTAGCACCTTCAATATTCTTCTTGTGGCCTGGTTTCTGATCCCATCATCAAGGTATATTCAAATAAGCAAATACTGGAAGCAAACTGTTGTGGTTCTCAATTTCCAGTTTAGGTATTACTTGTACAAACTAGTAAGTGCCATTTGGAACTTCCAGTATTCTCCCTCCTTAGCCATAAAGTTAAAATGATTGTAATTTACTCTCTGATTTGTAAAAGAAATATTTGAAATAATATGAACTTTCAAAGTAATGGATATTTAGCTGGTGCTTAATAAATGTTGATTTCCATGCTTCCTCTTCATTCTGGGCTCCTCTTTCTCATGTATTTTCATTTGATCTGTTATGACAAATTATCCTTCAGAATTGTACTCACCATCCCCTCACACTGAGATGCTCAGAGAACCTTTTCTTTTACTAAGTACCACTAGTACTATAATAATGATTAATTAAAAATAATGGAGATCTGAAGGTGCTTCCCATATGTCTGGCTTTTGAGGAAATAGCTAAGATCTTCTTGCTACCCTCTCTTTCAAAGCATGCTTATGTTACTATGTTATGATATTAGAAAACTGATTCACTTTGTTACAGGCATACACCCACACCTGCAGATACAGGGGAACTAAAGCTAAGTGTAAACAGGCAGGTGAGAGAGTAGGGGAGCTCTCTCAGGATCCCACATGAAGTGCTTTATCCAGTAGGGTACAGTGAAGTGGGAACAATGAAAAGAAAGAACTCTAAACAACTGGACTGTGACACATGAGAGTAAAATTATTACTTCTAGACACAACTTGCTGCAGAACCAGAACTTATACATACTTGCCAGCTATGTTGCCTTGGCTGTAGAGCTTCAAATGGCAAAATTTCACAGATAGAAATTCAGAATTTACATGCTGAACTGTGTATAGCAGAAACTCTAATAACAATATGTGTGGAGCACTATGTAAATAGCTATAGTAATACCTGGATAGAAAAATAAACCAAATGAAAAAGAAATTAAAAGGTCACATGTAGTTTCTCTAGAATTCAGTAGGCTTGCTCAGCAAGTAGTAAGTAGATACCTATGCTAGGAAAATGTTCTTTTTAACCTTGTAATTTTGTTAATCCTGAAAAACTGGGAAAGCTAAATTAGTTATGTATTGCTACATAACAAATTATGTCAATGTAGTGGCTGAAACTGGAAACATTTATTATCTCAGTTTCTCTGTAGCTTGGTGTATCTCATATAATTTCAAATAAGCTGTCCACTGGGCTGCAGTCATCTAAAGACTTGGCTGAGGATGGATGGCCTGCTTTCCAATGGGTTACTCACGTGGCACTTGGCTGGTGGTCCCAATTCCTTGTTATATGGACCTCTCCTCAGGGAAGCCTGTGGTTTCAAGATTCAGAAGCTGTGTTTCCTGGTACAAGTGACCCAGAAGAAAAATAGTAACCAAGACAGATGCCATAGAACCTTTTTATAGCCTAGCTTGGGAAGTCACCCTCTGTTACATATGCTTCATTCTACTCATTAGAAACAAGTCACTTAGTCCACAGTCAAGAAGGTAAACATTCCTATCTATTATAATATACATTATTTAAAATACAGAGTAAGAGAGAAGGAAAAGAGAAGATGAGACTAAATTTTATAATAACAAAGAAATCTAAGAGTCCTTCCTTCATTGTGCATGTGGTAGGGGTCGGAATCACATTCACATACTGAAACTGAGATTGGTGGTAGAAGCTATAGATTACTATTGTTTTCCTTTAAAAAGAAAACTTTACACAAATTAAGTTTAGCAAGGTTTATTTGAGCAAAGAATGATTCATAAATTGAGCAGCACCCTGAACTGGTAGTAGTTCAGGTGGGGTGGCTCCATACAGCAACATAGGCAGGTACTATTTATAGACAGAAAAAGGAAGTGGTATACAAAAACAGCTTGATTGATGACAGCATTTCCTTATGTGGATGTGATGTGATGAGGCATTTGTGATTGGCTGAAACTCGATTTACATGATTGGCTGAAAGTTGATTGACATGATTGGCTGAGACTTGGCTGTCTGCTATAACAATATAATTGTAAGTTAGGTTTCAGTTCTGCTAAGTGTGAAAGCAGCTCTCCTCAAAATTTGATTTAACACTATCAAGCATTTGCCACTTCTTTGGTAAGATCTTGGACAAGTCATTTTTTTTTTTTCCTGTAAAATCCTCAGTTGTTTCCTCACCTATAAAACAAGCTAGAGTACAATGATATATTTTTCCAGCTCTAATATTTTCAGAATTGAGCTGCAAGAAGGGGAGGAAAAGATTTAAGGTAAGCGCACCTAGATCATGATAGATTATTTCTTAAAAAATAATACTGGTTATCTCCACTTGGCCTTTGATGTATTGCTGGGTAAAAATATGTATATACCGCATAACAAAATATACCCAAACATGTTTGACTCAAAAAATTATTCTATCATATAATTCTATGGATTGGTGAATTCAGATCAGGTTATTTGATTGGAGTCAGATCTGAAGGTTTGCCTACATGGCTCATAGGAGAAGGTTTTACTTTTACTAGCTCGAGTTCAGAGCAGCCAACAATACACTCACAAGTTCTCTCTATGTGGCTAGGAGTTCTCATACATTGCTACTGGGTTTTCAAAAACCAGGAAACAGAAGACTCTAGGCCAGTTTAGGGCTATACATAGGATTGCCAGTATTGCTTTCTCTTTACTCTGTTGGCCACTTAGATTGTATAAAGTTAAATTCCCGCCTCTTAATGAGAGTTGTAAGGTCACATTTCAGAAGGAAAAGAAAGAATACAGATGTTCCTGCAAATATCCTTGGAAAATACAATAGACCACAATATGATTAAGTGACAGATACAAGGACTCTTTCTTCACAGATTCTGAAAATGTTTGCATCACAAATCTGAGTCAGTTGTGAATCTTAATGATG